TTTTTGCCTCCTACCTAGCAAAGACGTGGCCACATTGCAGGGTATCACCTTTTCTCTAGTGATCCAGGAGCTGGCGATTTTAGGCCTGGGGTCTGGGGGGGTTTAGACACAGGCCTGGTTGACATTCGGAGTCTTCATTCATGGGCTTGACTGAGCAGAACTCCCCGAACTTACGGCGAATTGACAAGGTTTGATCACCATTCTTCTCGACGCCATTGATACCGCAGCAGGCAGGAAACCACCAACCTTGGAGACAGCCTGCTATTGACTGTCCTGGATAATATGTGTTACAGCGGTTGGTGTCTGATGTTGAGACCTTCCAGGCTTCCTAGCGCCAGACTTTCTGAGAAGGAACCTTCAGGAAAACGGCAAAAAGTGTAACATTACTATTCCACAAGACTTGGGACCATTCTCAGGGAGCAAATGTGGGCAGAACCTACTCTCAGCCAGGGCATATCCTGTGTAAAACTGGAGAAAAGAAAGCCAAGGAGCTGGAGGAGCATTCCGATGCCGGCACCAAGAAGAATGAAGTTCAAGACTATTGCCATGGCGCCTGGGTTCAGGTAGTTGACTTGGTTGGTGAAGGACGGTGCAAGGGGCGCGAATGTGACTTTGCGATTCGGGCGAACAGGGTGTGGTGTCCCAGCGTCTCGGACCACCTTGTTTCTGGTGCTACATGTGCAGCGGCAGGGAAACCTTGCACGCAAACAAGCCGAGCACGTGACCATTCGCAGATGAAGCCTGAAACTGCCCGCCGTTTTTCTACCACACGACACATGAATATGCCAATGCCTAGTCTGTAACTCTAGAAACCCTAGATTGTAAACAATGCCGAGGAGAACTCAGCCAAAGACCCGTGTGAGGCACCGTGGACTTTCTGCACGAAGCAGCGAAACGATACACCAACCTGTAAACACATTGCAAAGCCCTGTGCTACCAACCGACGCACCCATCGCCCTTTCCATTCAACTCCGGATGCCTTCGAGAACTTGAACCCGGAGCCTGCAGGTAACTCGGAAACCTATATAAATCCAAACGCCGCTTCAACAAAAACATCAAACAAATCTCAGCCGTGTTTCAGATCAAGCCAAAGATGTAGGCCAAGTTAAATCCATGACACGGGGCCGTCCTGAAGGGTTGGCAATAGAAGGATTTCTTAACAGTCTTAAAAGGAGGCGATGCTTCGCGTCCAGTGGAAACCCGAATGCGGAATGTCTGCAAGTATCTCTCTCCTCTCTATCTCTGCGGCATAGGAAGTGTCTGAAGCCCCCCCGGCCTCTGGCTCACCCGTCTCTCTGTCTGTCTGTCTGTCTCTCGCTCGCTCGCTCCGGGGCAGAGTCCGCATTGCAGACCCGGGCCGAGGCCCCCCCCTCCCCGTCATGACGGTGGAAGAGGCTGTGGGGTCGTCGGTGGACGCGTTTGCGCCCAGTGGTAGGTAAAGCTGGTAGAGTGCGTCTGTCGGAAAACACCCCAACCCTGAACTTTATCGTGCGTCCCGGCCTTATCGCCGCGCCCTCTACGGCAAATCCTAAGTCCCTGGACAGGCGCACTTCCGCCAGTAAAAACAGTGGTTTGTGGTTAATGCCAGCCCTCCAGCCTTGCTCAAGCCTTCCAGCCTTCCTCCAGCCTCAAGCCCCAGCCCTCCAGCTTCCAGCCTTCCAGCCAGTTTTCAACCCCAGCCAGTGCAGTTTTGCAGACCCAGCCCTCCAGCCTTCCCCCACGATAAGCAAGACAATAACTAAGTGCGAAGCAGTGCAGGATCACAGGATCAGTACGATGCAAGTGGAGGTTTGGTTCGGGCGGTGCTCCCCTCATCTTTCACAAACAACAAAGAAACAGAATACAGTGCAGTAGCAACTTCTGAGCAGGAGTCCCCCGTTGCAAAAGGATGCCGGTTTAACTTCCCAATTTGGGTTGCGTAAGTATATGCGGTAGTGATTGGATCAGACATCGCAGTGTGGCGATGTGTAGCATTGAATTTGTAGCTAACTGCATCGAGTTTGCGGCAGTAATCTGAACAAAAACTTCATGAGTGCAGTTTCCCCCGGCATGAGGATGGTGCTCGCCCCCCTGAGTGTCTGTACGGCGGGCTTGTATCGACTATTTTACCAACTGGGAAAAAGGCAGGCTTCAGTGAGTGGCGCTACCCAAACCAGAGCACAACCTCTCTCTCTCTCCTCCTACAGATCGTTGCTAGAGCCTCCAAGTATTAATTGAATCTTAATTGCCTTTTGTCTTTGGGAGTTTGGCGGCTTCTGGCTGTAGGTCTTGACACTTCAGTTCAGGGTTTTGGACTTTTTTTGACACTCACACTCGGACACAGCCTGGCAAGGTCTGCAGCGATACTGGTCTGAAGTCGTTAACAGGCACTTCCAGTTGGTATCACCGGATATGCGGATATGCGGCACATCCGATAGAACCCTGGATTTAAGGCTTGTGCTAATCGACTTGTTTCAATTTTCCGACTACTTAGTTCACTTCGCGATGAGGATATGATGTCGGTGCTCACACTCGGCCAATCCAGGCGAAGCATATGGTTCGAGGTCTGACCTGTGAGACATTCGCTGAATCAGGAGCGCATTGCAGTCTCCAACAGAGAAATTTTGTAAGCAAATGGCAAAAAGTAGCCGACTACCAAGCACTCCCCACTTGAGATCCACTCCTGTCTACGGATAAGGACCGAGTCACAAAAGACCTCAAGGCCTGTAACGGCATATCAGAGCGGAGAGGGACTAGGGTCAGCTCGAGGCTCTACACACTATGAGGCCGGACTGACCTTGGTGGACTGTGATCTGTGTGTGGAGTCTGTACGATTCCACATGTCCGGGGGATAGAGACCCGCACCAGGGTGTGAAACAGGACTGGGATGACATGACTTACAAAGGAACCAATAGGATGTCTACCTGAACATATATACTCTCTTCTTCAACAACCGGGCCCCAAAAAGTTCAAACTTTCTAAGATAGAGCTAATATATAAGGCTAAAAAGTTTAAAGTTCCCCTGTTCACTATCTAAGTATAAGAACCTAATTACTAATAGCACAATAGCACTTAGACCGATAACATCGTCTCTGCGAAATTTGCAAGTTTCGAACAGGATTTACGCTCTCGCAACTCGGACACAGCCAGACGAGGTTCTTGGTGCGCATGGTCGGACTAAGGGGCGGCTCGACTCGACATTCGAAGACAGCCGAGAACAAAAGGTAGAGCCACAAAGTACGGCAAGTCGAGCACAGCCCACGAGCACGAGTCCACGTTGGAACCCGGAGAATAGTAGGAGTCAAGTCAGAAAAACAACAGAACGTAAGTTAAGGCCACGTAGGACACTCAACTCCCTGAGAGCAGGATTCATGCTCTCGCAACTCGGACGCATCCAGAGAACAGGATATAACAGGATTAGGGTTTGGGGTTTGGCTCTTCTAAAGGCTTGGCGAGCCGGGTGAGGCTTCCGAAAGCGTGAAAGGAGCGGAGCTTTTCACAGAAAAGCTTCTACATTTCGAATCGGCTTAGTACTGTGGGGTTCGTGCCTCGCTCAATGGGACCTGGACCTTAACCCTGCATGGTGGTACAGTAGGTATGGCCCGAGCCCTGCCTACGAACGCAGGACTTTCAGGATCTGCGGATATCAAAATCAACAAGTGAGGAAGAGGCACCAAGCGGCAAGGCAAGATTGTAAAGGGCTTTTGCGACACAGGATGTTAGCCCAGGTGCGGTTGTTAACTTTTGGGAGGGGGTCTGCTGTATTGTTTGCCACCTGCATCGCAAGGACAAGCCATGGAGCTGTTGTTTTTCCCACCCGCCCAGCTGACAGAGTCGCACCGCAGGGAAATCGTCCGAAACTGACCACAGGTTGTTTTAAGAGGAAGGGATTTAAAAGAGATTGCATTATATAGCTGAGCGGTATGAACAATATCACAATTGGCACATAACGATAACTCCCCCACCAATGCCTGCTGGGACTGTTTGTGCCGTATACATCGCTGTAAGTGCAGTACACCACATTCTCAAACATGGCCTTCACGAGGAGGCTGAACTTCAGCAGGTTTACGTTTCTCTTGGGCTTGTGGCGCCTTGAGTCTAGGAGGATTCCGCTCCGGGGCCGCAGATGTCTGAAGGATTCTGAGGGCACCACCCTTAACCAAAGCCTTCAGCCGATCGACTTCCCTTCGCTGCAGCTAAGGATCACTCCGACGCTAGTGAGGATGGGCGCGCACCTGCGGACATGTCTTTTGCTGCCGTGGGCAGGCTTGGCCGACTTCTGCCTTTGATTCGTCTCGTGAGTAAAGCCACTTTCAAGAGAAGACAAGCCAATGAGCAAACAGGGACGCATTTGACCAAACCCCGTGCGGTGTGGGCATCACATGCGCGCATGGACGGAAATCCAAGCTATGACCAGGTATCCAAAGCAAAGCTGTTTTCCCACATGTTCTAAACTAGACTTCTTAGATCAGAGAACTACTTCTATCAGAAAACCCTCGCTGACAGCGGCGTCGTGTGCACGTGAAACCCAGAAACCCTAAGTTTGAATCTACGAGAGTTAGAGCTTTCCTGTGCCAAGCCGCCACTCGGCCGCCGCCTCTTGCAACGTGATACCTTCCGGGTGAGAGGTATACGGAGTAAGGGATTCGGCAGGCCTGTGAAGCGTTGGGGGAGCCTGTAATGATTAGGGGATGCACCAGGTTGGACTGAATGTTCGCCAAAATTGCTACATGATGTGCACAACATGCTCCAGGATGACTCGGCTAAGTCGGAGCTTGTGGAAGCATCTGACACGGATTCTGCAAGCGTAAGGAATCAGTGGCGCGAGACTGAGATCTTGCCGGTTCCTGACCAACTTGGAACTACAGGCTTTGCGCCTGAGCCTTTTATGCTGCGAAAGTCTGTGGCGTGCATTTTAAGTAAAGAGGTTCACGAGCCGACACCTTCACGACCAACTATCTGTACAAACATCGCCGCTTGCAAACACACCATCATGGGAGGCCGGATCAAAACAATGTACTTTGTCCTTCAAATTTCGACGGCCTCCCCGAACCCTGACTGATGCGCTATGGCTATGAAGCGGCGCTGCATTTAGGTCGGGCATGTTGCTTTTAAGCCATCGTGCCTTCTGCCATGTCCCTGCACTTCTGCCACTTGGAATTCCACCTGCAACGACTCAACAGCATGTCTAAGCATTTCTCTTGCACCAAGGTGCAAAACCCAATGTCACCCTTGACAGGGCACTGTTTTGCGACATTAGTACCGACTCTCGTTCACATATTTTGCGTGCCTGCAGGTTAGTACTGTCTGTGCTAAGTGCTAAATGAATGTTCTAACAAAAAACATAAACAACTGTTGCGTGCCGTTGGCCTGAAAGACCTGTCCGGTGGACAACCTTCACTGGAGGTTCGAACCAGAATAAGTAAAACCCAATGCCTAAAACTCCCGGATGAACCTGACAGGGCCTTCGGCTGAAAGCCCCATAGGCATATTTCGAGCTTCGAAGGCCCTGTTTCCGAGATCCCTGACCAAAGAAGGCAACATCCCCAAATTGCAGATTCTTATGGGTCTTACTTGAGCTACATAGAAGAAACAGTCTCAGTGACGGCTTTTGGACCAAGTCTTGGGATCTATTTACAATCTCTCTATATCTGTCTATCGGCCCACGACGGACAGCGTCAAAAGCTCAGCGTCGCTTACGGCGGTGTAGGGTTAATAGGGGCTAGCTCACGGCTCTCATTTCAGAAGGTTTGAAAACCGGAAATCCCTAAAGCATCCCACAGCACCGGATAACCATTCGGGTTCAGACATCGGGGTGCAGGTTCCAAGAACTGTGCCGGTCCAAGCAACCCGCAAATCAGAGTGAGTCCTTTGACAGCAACGAGGGCGTGCAGCGGATTCTTGGTGCGGGTGCGGTGCGCATGTCTGTAAGTAGGTATGTATGTAGGTATGTCTGGTAGGCTGTTACATTGCATGGTAAAGACATCCTCGAGGGTGTGACTGCGGAAGGCTGTAGTGTATAGTCTTGTCGTAGTCAAACAACTAACGGAGAGTGTGTACGTAGGTATGCACGTATGTGTGTATGTGTGCATTCGTAGGTTTGTTTGCTTGTGTTCAACTTCTTGTTTGTTTTATGTCTGTACTTATTTGCTATGTGGTAGCATATACGCATACGAACGTACTGTGCCAGGCTGTACGATGAAATACCAAACTCGTGTACAATTATTTGTTCTGCTATATTCGGTATTGTCATGCTAAAAAATCATGTTGTGCTGCCGTACTTTAGCATATTTCAAAGTATAATTGTCGTAGTATATCATTCTGTGTCGAAGTCAGTTTTGGTCAAAATTCGTTCCGCTTGCATGTGATATTCTGATTTGTCACGGTAGGTCATGTTCTATAATACTGTTATCATGCTATACTACAGTCAAAAGTGAGTAAAACAACATGGTATCCTGTCATGACCGTAGATATGATACCATGTGTCAGAACATGTCACTACAAACTGGGTGACAATGCTTGACCATCTGGCAAAACACTATTGTAATATACACCGTGTTGTATTAGACTAAACTAATAAAGACCAGTGTAGTAACATATAGCTTAGTATATAACCTGGCATAGCATTTAGTATATAACCTGGCGTATCATTGTATGCACATAAATATATATATATATATATATATACACATATTAACTACCCATATACGCACAACAACACATGGAAACATTATACCATGCGTATGTACACACATTACAGTGAGGTATGGTAAGGTAAAGCATGTGGCAGACAATGCTATACCACAATAGCTTTGTGTGTAAGAAGCTCAATACATGATAGTACATCCGGTTAAACTATACTATGGTGTAGTGTACTTAGTGTAGCATACTAAAGCATAGCGAAGATTGGCATGGTGAGGTATAGTATGGAAGATTGTCCGAAAGTAACGTATTCTCTTGTACTATCACAGGAAATACTATATCACATTAAGGTATATTATGTTCTCTTAGGTTATATTTTATTATGGTGTTATATTGCATGAAATTACTGAGCCGTTGTGTTATATCATGTGACACCATGCCATGTCGTTTTCAACATGTTGTTACATTGTAAAATTTCGTTTGACCCGATGTCATACTGAAATACACTATATTAGGGCAGGGTTCTCCACCCTGAAGACTAAAAGCTTGTCTCAAGTCTCCTCGCGGGCCTCTGCAGGGATTCGGGTGTGATGAGTTCTTGTACAGCGTAAACTGACCAAGAAAGTAGGCCCTGCGATTGCAAGCAACTGTATACATAAATAGGACAAGTAGTTATCTTTGGATATTCCGATGGACAAGTTGACAAGGCTTAGGTTTGGAAGGCCCCTTTCCACACATCACATCCTAAACCGAGCAAATACCAAGACTCTAAAAAACCATGTGCTCTTTTCCCGATTTTATGGTCCGACCATCCTCCTAGTTAACTGGCAGATTGAACTAGGTGTTTGCACTTGCAAAACATGGACAAAAACCTAATCTCATTCCGACCAGACTAGGAACGACTTGGTTTAGTTGTGCTTTCGGCGTAGGTTCATTGCTGCTGTTGTCTTGCATGTGAATGGCTCCTGATGTCCGAACTGTTGCTACCGCTACTACAACATCTCGCTGAAGTGGCTTTTCTGCTAACTGCAGATTGCACTTTGCCACTTCAGTTTGGGTATGGCTCTGTTCCACCCCGCCCTAGCCTTTGACTTGGACTCCAAACCCAGACTCTCAACCAAAGCTTCAAGGCTTGAATCCCGAACCTGCAACCGTGCAACCCCTGAAACTCAAATCAGTGGTCCTTGCTCCACTTTGGTGTAGATGAGCCCCGTGTTCACCCGCATGAGAGGTATACCCAATGGGGCGACGGTGAAGACCTGGCAGCAATAAGTGTGACAATATCAGCCGTATGCACCGCAAGAATAACCATCGCAGTAGCACAAAGTAGCTAGCTGTATTTCGTTTCGGTGACTTAACCGACTAGACTATAATGGCATTTGCATCAATGATTCGTCGTCACCCTAGTCGTAATCGCAGTCGTCGGTGCAACAGCAGCAGGAGTAGTGGCAGTAGTCGTGGTAGGTACTAGTCGCGGGCGCGGCATGCAGAAGCAGTCCGAGTAGCAGGGGTAGCAGTTGTCAGACTATTGCCACCAACGCTACTTCTTGCTTGCCTTGTTCTCCGTATTGTTTCTCACCATGAATACTGTTGTATGTGCTTAGCCTCGTTGTGTTTATGGTAATTGACATGTACTCCTGCTCTTGCGACTAACAATGCTATCATTGGTGGTGGTTGTTGTAAGTCGTAGTAGTAGTAGTAGTAGTAGTAGTAGTAGTAGTAGTAGTAGTGATAGTAGTAGTAGTAGTAGTAGCAGTAGCAGCAGTAGTAGTAGTAGTAGTAGTAGTAGTAGTAAAGGTAAAGGTAAAGGTAAAGGTAAAGGTAAAGGTAAAGGTAAAGGTAAAGGTAAAGGTAAAGGTAAAGGTAGCAGTAGCAGTAGCAGTAGCAGCAGCAACAGCAGGAGGAGGACGAGGAGGAGGAGGAGTAGTAGTAGTAGTACTCGTCGTCGTCGTCGTCGTAGTTATTGTTGTAGTAGCAGTAGCAGCAGCACCAGCAGCGGCAGTAGTACTAGTACTAGTAGTAGTCGTAGTCGTACATAGTAGTGGTAGTGGTAGTGGTAGTGGTAGTGGTAGTGGTAGTGGATGGTAGTGGTAGTAGTAGTAGTAGTAGTAGTAGTAGTAGTAGTAGTAGTAGTAGTATATAGGAGGTGCAGGGGTAGTACTAGAGCAGCAGCAGCAGCAGCAGCAGCAGGAGTAGCAGTAGTAGTACTAGTAGCAATTTTTGTAGTAGAAATAGCAGCAGCAGCAGCAGTAGTAGTAGTAGTCGTCGTCGTCGTCGTAGCAGCAGCAAGCAGGAGTGCCAGGAGCAGCAGCAGCAGCAGCAGCAGCAGCAGGAGGAGGAGGAGGAGGAGTAGTAGTAGTAGTAGTAGTAGGAGTACTACTAGCAGCTGTAGTGATAGTGGTGGTAGTACACATTTCGCCGAGCCTCAACAGAAGACGACACACCACGGGCAGCCCCAGACTTGAAACATTGTGAAAGTCAAGCCGAAAGCACACCACAAAGTGAGAAATCCAAACCATTCACTTCACTGAAACGAAGAGACGCAACATCCCGTTGTACTCGCGGAAGAGCACATCATGTAAAGCTTCAACATGCTGGGTGGACATGCCAGCGGATGAAGCTGCCCATGATTTGGACTCGGCCACGTGGGGAGTTGCGAAGGGGAAAGACTCAACATGGTCTGTAAGTACTCATATTACCACTTAGGGTTTTGGCCGGACTCATCGGCCTCTCGAACTTTGATCTTCAGAGTTGCGGGCCCTGCCTGTGCAAAGAGTTCTGTATCGAATTTTTTTGGCACTCGCGCACTGTACCTACTTCACACGTATCCCAGAGAGGGAGAGGGTCTGTGGGTTTGCGCGAGTGAATGCTTATGCGTTTATTACTTATGACTCATATCTGCAAGTAGCACTGAAACCCACTGAAACTGTATCGGTCACCACTTCGTATGAAGGGTAATACGCACATCGGGGGATTGGGAACGGGAGCAGGGTAAGTTGCACACGGGCTTCACATCTCGCTTGGTGACAGTGGCGGAGTGGCAACTCAACGTGAAACCAACATGCACTCGCGAGGCAAGACGCTGCTTAAACATATCCGCGGTACTTACATAAACGCACACATGTGCAGAACCGCCGGGAGGCACATCATGGCCATTCCAACCAGCATGTAGTACACAATGGAGACTTTCACACCTTGCAACAAACGCTCTGATCATTTTGTTGCTATAAAGCTTCAAGCTATTGGCAGTGCGACCCACAGCCCCTGACCATGCTCTCCTCGGGCCCCATCAGGCCCTGTGCCCAAGCGCCGGATTCCTGATTAGGTTTAGGAAGCAACGGGACCACACTGCTCGCAATGCTCCAAGATGACCCAGAAT